AGAAAGGCTTGTGAATACCGTAAGCAGAAGGGACTTTAAGAATGGAGGAAAAAATCTGGGCAGAGGATGGGATGCTGAGAAGGAATGGGATGACAATAACCACCCCTCCCATGAGAAATATTAACTCATTAATACCAGTACCAGAGCAGCCAGCTTTAGCAGTGCCGATATATCACAGAAGAAGTAGGGGATCACATTGTCCTTTCAGGAGGACAATCTTGTCATGAGCAGGGCGTGCAACAGGGCATGGAACATGGTCGGCACCCAGGACAGCATCAGTAGGCACACACACAGCTTTGGGCTCATGATCCTGGTGTAGTGCAGGGGAAAACAGATGGCCACATAGTGGTCATAGGCCATGGCCACAAGCAGGAAGCTCTCCAGATCTCCAAAAAATAGGAAGAAGTGCATTTGAGTCGGCAGATGGAATAGATGGAACTGGGCTCTTCACGATTTGCAACAGTTTGGAAACTGTCACAGATGAAAAGCAGAGGTCAGAGAAGGACAAATGGCTGAGGAAAGAATACATGGCCATGTGGAGATGGGAGTCCAGCTGAGTAAGAATGATGATGAGGAAGTTCCCTAGGATGGTGGTAAGATACACGGTAAGGAAGAAGGCATACAATGTATGCTGGTGCTCTGATGAAAGGGCTAGCCCAACAGTAGGAACACTGAGAGGATGGTTTGGTTTCTTCCCATTATTACCCATCTCCAGTGTCCTTAAAAGAACATAATAGAGTTCTTAGGTCCAAATAAAAATGAACATTTTTCTGCCATAATGACCTGTGAAGTGCCCAACCAAATTCGTTATTCATCCTCACTAGAATAATTATAATCTCTGTACCACAAATAGTATAATTTGAATCTTCAGCGTCAGATATGATTTATTTTCTTCTCTTCTCTTCAACATATTCCAATATTCCATCTCTTCCTAAACACTCTTACTGCTTACTTCTGAGAAAAAAACTATATTGGTCTTTCTCTTACCTGCTGGGCTGGTCACCCTCAATGATTGTAATGACTTCTTTCTCTATCAGTTTCATAGATGAAAAGCATATTGATGTTCTTCAAGTATCTGTCTAAACACCATCTTGTTATAATGTTATATTTCTCAAGTAAACCTCTCTTACTTGGGTGCTTCTGGTCTCACTTAAAACTCGAATGTAGGCGTCTTTCAACTTACAGAACTCTGCACTGGAAGGTTCAGTGATTACCTTCCTTCAAATGTAGAGTGGACTTTGTAAGCACCATGGGTCTCAAGTGAAACTCATGACCTCAGCCTCTTTCTGTTCCAACCCCTCCTTCTGCAATTATATTTGGTGAAAGGAATCCAGGCTTAAATCAAAATCTGAAAGTTTTATTTCCTTCATTTATTTCTTTCACCATCCACTAGCAAGTCCAATCTAACAAGTCCCTAACATTCTGAACTTTAGTTTTTCCTAATTTATTCACTCTTCTTCCCAAACACTGGCTGACCATTTATCTCACTTGAACTATTGAATCAAACTTTAAATCTCCCTACTTGTGCCTTTCAACACCTTCCACATCCAACAGTTTTCTTTCCTATTATAAACAATTTAAGGTAAAAATCTGGTCATTGCTCTCTCCTGGTTAAATATTTTGGCAGATTCTCATGCTCTTAAGACAAAAGCAAAATTACTTTTAAGGGCATAAATAGTATTTCATTATCCTTTCCAGGCTAACAGCCTCATCTGGTCACTTAGTGAATCTCACATCGCCTTCTCCAGCAATGCTGGACATAAAGCCTTTCATGATAACACTGTATCCTTCTCTCTTTTCTGCCTCACTTGCCCTTGTCCACTTGTCCTTCAGGCATCTGACTGGATCAGCGACACCTTCCCAGGTCTCCCCACACCAGGTCTGACTTGCCACTGCAGGCATCTTATACTTACTCAGTTGCACTCGGGGGCCTTTATCATGGTTTGTAGCTGACTTCCCACCAAACTGGAATCGATATAGGAAAATCCACATCTGCCTTCAAAACTACATCAAGGCTAGCACCTGACTTGATGGTTATCTTTAGCCGATATTTTATGGATATTTGTCGCTGTCCTTCAGGCTAAGACATGTGATCCTGTACTTTTAAAGACAGCAAAACTCCATCAAATCAGAGTAACTACTAATATCACTTCCTCCCAGAAAAACTCATTAGCATTAACTATTTAACTCTTAAGTTTGACAGTTTTACAGATTTCATAGATATAATTTTTCAAACATGGAAAATATTATGGTACCTCAGATATACTACTCATTTTGCTAGTTCAGATGAGTAGGTCTAAACACATTTGTGCTTTGTTCCATGTGACAAAGTCTTATATTGGTATGGGAAAAACAGAAATGAAGGCAATCTTGGAACTAGGAGGAGAAACTAAAAGAATTATTTTCACCCTTAAGCCCTCATTTGAGTTCTTCCTCCAATATCACTATCCTGTGTGATGGTTAATTTGATTTGTCAACATGACTAGGCCCTGGTACTTGCTTTGTTTAGTCAAAAAAAAAAAAAAAACCAGTGTTTTATAATGTGATTAGCATTTAAAACAGTAAACTTTGAGTAAAACAGATACTATTCTCTATGTGATGGGCCTTATGCAGTCACTTGAAAGCCTTAAGAAAACAAACTGCAGTCTCCTAAAAAAGAAAGGATTACGACTTCAACACTTCCTGGGGGATCCAACCTACTGACGTTGCTTGCACATTTCAGACTAGCCAGTTCCCACAGTCAAAAGAGCTAATTTCTTAAAATGAATCTTTCTGAGTCTCTGTCTCACCTTTCTATATACATACCTGTGCATGCATGTATATGTGTATGTGGTTTATGGTTCTGATTTCTAGTAAATTTGACATTAGTATACTCTAGCGTATCTCAAATCTGACAGAGCAGAAGAGCAACATTAAGAGATGAAGGATTCTCTGCCAAACATGCAAGTTGAGGCCGACTCATGGATCTTTATCCTGATAATGCTTAACGCAGCTGCACTAATTTTGTTTACACTTGAACACAGTCTGCTAGCATTACAGTGGGAAAAATGTCTGCTGAAAGTAATATCTGGTTTCTCAAAATTTTGCTTCTCTTGAAATCAAGGAAGCCCCATTTCTGGTGTTGAGAGTATGATTAAGAATCACCACCAGAGACATCACTGGCAGATGTTGCCAATGATGATATGATGAACTTCCTGCCTCCCTGCCTCACAAAACTGAGAGTTGTCAACATAGAATACACATAAGAATCACATTGGCAGTGCTTCTGAAAGTCAGTGTTCATTTGAAGGCCTGAGAGATGATAGGTTTAGAGCAGAAAAATTTTTACATCTAAAAACTATCTCACAGAACATTGTACAGCCTGGGAAAACTAGGCCTTCAGATTGGGACAAAATTAATAGTGAGGTCTTCATCACCCCTCTAAACTTACCTGGAGTGCCCGAGAGGTACTCTAAGGCTCTCACTTGAGATCCTCCTCCCTTTATTCAGTACAGGAATGTGAAGACACAGCTGCTATAATCAGTGTCTGCCCTACATATCCTTCATCGACCTGACTCTGGGCTTAAGGGAACCTGCATGCCAGAGGAGTTCAGCTCTTGGAATAATTAACTAAAGACAAAGGAATTACCCAGGACCACACTAGGACAAATTCTCTCCTAGTCCCACACTGACCAAGTATAGCCATTGAGTACACCTGACTGTATCTTGGGGAAAGTGGGGATGGGAAGCTAAATGGGATTTTGGAAGCTTAATTATTTCTTCAGGGAATGGACAGGGATCCTTTGTGGCTAGAACCTTCTCTTTTGGGAGTGAAGGAGGATGGCTGGGAAACCTTTGAAGTGATTAGGCAATGGACTAATTGGTTTCCAATATCTTAGAAGTACTAAATTTTACACAAGACATCATCAGAGTGTCACACATTCCTTTAAAGGTTAAAACATTCCACCCTTCACCTATAAAACAGGAACTGACCCGTGAGTGATCTTCTGACTAATGGAAAGCTCTTCTTACCTTCCTTACCTTGATTCAGAAGTCCTGACAGTTTTGTTTCAATCACCTTTAGAGCCAACTATGGAGGTAGGGTGTCCTACCCAGTTGGTGTCCCAGAGGCAATGGAGGGGACCTCTCAACTTAAGAGGGGTGAACCTCCTGTTGGAATGTTGCTGGGGTGCCCAGCAGGGGGAGACCTGCCTCCATGAACCCACAGCGAGTGCTGTGCAGGGCTACTGCTGCCTTCTTGTTTCCCAGCTCAATGCACCGGGACCTGTTGTGGGAAAGTGAGTCAACAGTAGCCAGGAGCTCAGGAGTGGCAGCAAAATTTTATTTAATGCCGGAGAACCTCAAAGGAATAGTCTCAAAAGTCCGAGGCAGTGATTACAGAAAGTATATATTTTTTATAAGGCGGCAAGTGAGAGTTACAAAAAACTAAGATAAGTGGAGAAGAGGCCACAGAACAATGAGTATCTTAATGGTGAGCTCAGCTGTGTGTAGCAAAGTTTTTTTTTTTTTTTTTTAACACATTTACAGAAGTAAGTTTGATGACAAATCATATGGTTTGGCTGAGTTCAGTGGCAGAGAACAGAATGGCCTCAGCTGTATTGAACAACATGCCTGCAGTTAGGTCAGGATTTGTGCTTTGAGGTCACCATTTCTAAGAAAGTTAATCTGGTAATAACTACAATGGGTAGATTCCATTTGGTGGCAAGTGATAGAAACCAAGTCCAAACTTGTCCATGCAAGGAGTGACATTTATTGAGTTTCAAATGGCAGGGAGAGAAGGTTACATTTGGGTCTTGGAAAGTTAGATTTTGGGGCTGGACTCAGGCACAGACTCTGCTTTCTCTTCATGGAGGCCTCACCTCCCCCATGAGCTGTATCCACACAGGTTTAAACTGCCGGCTCTGGCCTACACCTAAGGGCTTCCTGTGAGAGGCCGTGCTCCCCACAGAGATCCAACTCAAACTCCAGCTCTGGGGCACAAACACCCCTGTTGCCTCAGGGCAGGATCCCGTGACCAGCAGCCAAATTTTGGTGAGAGCCGAAGCTCTCCAGAGGTGGTCTATTCCCAGAAAGAGGGATGTTGGCAGCCTGAGCCCTGTCCTTTCAAGTGATCTCCCTTATACTTGTCATCTCATCTCCCAAATCCGTTTGCCCCTGAAGCTTGGTCAGTCTTCGTGTTTCAAACCAGTGTTTTAAGTGATGTCACAAAGCCGGGGTTCCAGAAGACTAAGGTAGCCCAGCACTGCAGCCGTCTTTCTTAGTTGGGCACAACTGGAGTGAGTGGTGGGGAGGGGAAGGTTCCTGCTTGAAACTGCTTTGTTCTACAGATCTTCATAAAAAGTCCTGGGCTGCCTGGGATTTGGGGCCAAAGAGGGATGACAGAAAGGTAAGCTTCAGAGGACCCTGGGGATAGAATTCAGGCAGTAGCACCACTGTCTTTCCCAAGAGGATCCCCAGAAGGTCTTAAATAGGCAGAGTTGGCGCTTCTGGCCTCCTGAGGCTCTGAGACATCAACTCTGAGGGAACGTGCTGAGGCCAAGAGATAGAGGGGTAACGAGAAACACGCACACTACATAGTCACTAGTTGTTGCCTGAAATTCTAAATTAGTAATTTTATTTGCTAAATCTGGCAACTCTAGGGTGGATGGCAGTGAGAGCACAAAAGAATGTCCCCAAGCTCAGGCTGATGTGGAGTGAGAAGACAGAAGAGCCCAGACTGCAAGTAAGGCCACCAAAGAGGCCATCTTGTCATGCTACAGCCAGGCATCCCAGGGGCAGGATGGAAGAATCTAGGCCTCGGCCCTCAGAAACACCCCTGGCTTAAGGGGAAAGACAGACACCTCCACGACAAAAATAAGCCTAGTTTTTGTTTTCACTGTATCTGCCACTTTGAAGCACAAAGGACAGTTAGCTGGCAGATTTCCCCTCCAGTTTAGCTTTGTTTCTTCAGGATTAGAGCCCGAGTATGCATCCTTGACTAGAGGGTCCATAGAGGTATCCCTAGCCCAAACCACTCTCCCTGCTTTCTCATACACACTTTTAAGTAAAAGCAAAACAGTAGGACCCCCAATAATCAGCCCATCAGGAATTTCAGGAGGCAGGGTAGGTCCTCGGGGGAAGTTGCATGTTTTGTGTCTGGAGGTGTTGAGATGGGGGTCAGTGCCCTAGCCCTCATTCTGGGAGCACATGTGTAAATTGCACTTAGAAATGTTGGCGAAGCAAATTTTCTATCAGTCTCTTTTGCCAACCTCATGCTCTACCATAACCCAATGCCCCTCTCAGCTGATGTCCGTTACAAGAGAGTCTGAGGATTGGCCTTGGTTTTTAACTATTAAAACTGAAAAATGGGTACATGTGAAAAGGTTTATTTTCCTTTGATAAATGTATAAGCTTTTCTGTGATAAAACTTTCTAAAACAGCAAATAAAGAGGAAGGAGATTAAAAATCGGTGGCAAGCAATGAGTTCAGTGCAGAAAAGTATTTGTCTCCCCTTTCCAAACCGCCAGGTTCTCCCAGAAGACCAGCAGAAGTCTGTGAGGTGAGAGCAGTAGGCCCTCTAGGGCCCTTATTGCTTCTGAGGATGGCCAGGGCGCTGCTCATTTCCTTGGCCAGCTGCCTGCTTGTCGTAAACCAAGCCTTCATTGTTAGACGCTGCGACTTGGCCAAGGTTCTGCACGAGGAGCAGCTGGATGGGTTTGAGGGGTACTCCCTGAGTGACTGTGAGTGCCACTTCTCTGCCACCTTCCCTGTTTCTCCTCTGCTCTTCATGCCTAGCAGCCACCTTCCTGTTTTCCTGTCATCTTTCCAAGCCAAATTCAAAAAGCACACACCCTACACATCCTTCCTGACACTCCTATTCACTGGACGGTTATTAATTGAACACTTGCTATGTACCAAGAACTGTTTAGTTCTATAGATAACATCCCTTCTTTCATAGTGTCCACATCCTGGGGTAAAAGAGCAACAATAAATACCCTCCCCCCCCCCACACACACATGCACACATGCAGTACTGCTGGTGCTGATAAATGCTTGAAAAATAATAAAGCAGAGGGAATTGTATTCTAGGAGAAGCCATGTTAAACAGCACTGCATGACAGGAGATACCCAGCCATCCAAATGTCTGGGGGAAGAACATTCCGGGCAGTGGGATAGTAGTACAAAGGTTTCCCCTTCCTGAGAGGCAGAGATGATTTCTCTCTTGCATGGAGTTTGGGCACAGTTACCTTATGACATTTTCTTTTTGTATCTTTCACTGTGGTTTATTAAGGTACATATTGTAATTCTTGTACTTTAGGCCTATTGAAGGCAGCATCTGTGTTTGACCAGATGAATGTTCCTTGCTGGGCTTTGCATAATTCCTGATACACAGTAGGTTCTCAGTAAGTACAGAAAACATAGAAGGAAGGATCCTGTATTGATAGATGGACCAAAGGATGAGAGGAGATGCCCATGGGTGCTTCTAGTTCTCCAGCCCAGTCTAGCCCATCAGGCCATATTCTTTTCTCCTTACTGCTTTTTTTCCCTTTCTCTGCTATTTCCCTTCTCACTTAGCTTGGTCCTTTCTGAATCCTGACCCTCCTCTTCCTGTTCTAAGGGTTGTGCCTGGCTTTTGTGGAAAGCAACTTCAACATATCAAAGGTAAATGAAAATGCAGATGGCAGCTTTGACTACGGAATCTTCCAGATCAACAGTCACTACTGGTGCAATGATTACCAGAGTCACTCGGAAAACTATTGCCACGTGGACTGCCAAGGTCTGGTCAGGGCCCCAGGGTGGAAGAAGTGAGAGAGGAGACAAGGTCTACTCATAGACCCCTCTTCCTACCCACAACCCAGGCCGTGTGCAGAGGGACACCAGAGAATCAGGGGGCTCCTTTACTGAGTAGGGGCTAGTCCAGTGGCCCCATGCCCAACAGACAGGAAGTTCTGCAGATACCTTGAGACTAAGGGTCAAAAAGGGCTCTGAGCAGCCAGGAGTAGTAAACTAGCCACAGCGGCCAGTTGATGGACAACACATTATATATCTTGATAATAAGAGCTCATTTCATCACAGTTTCTGTGATGTAACATAAACTGTTTGCCACCTTTACTTTATAAATGAATAAATTGAGATGTGGTACTGAATGCCATTTGGGACCTTGAAAGCTCTTAACAGCTCAGTAGTACTTAGGCTAATAATTGGACCAAAGTCTTATCCCCTCACTTCAGAGCTGATCCAAGACAGGGCCCATGACTCTGTTCTTTATCTCTTCCCGTCCACTCTGGCTAAGTCCAGAGGGACTTTTGGCCTGAAAAGATTCCTCCAACGCAGGACTTTATCTTGGCCTCTGGGCTACTTTCTTTGGCATTTCCTTTTCCTAGCAACCCTGCAAACTTTGGGCGAACAGCCCTCTTCCTTGGCTAGGAAGAAAAGCATGGACAGGCCCCAGTCTTAGTCCTTCTTCCCCACTTGCTGCTCCTCACCCTTTATAGCCAGCAGCCACTGTAGGTTTTCTCACTGCGTGTGGGTGGGAGGCTTTTCTGACCCAGAACATGCTGAGCCAGGCCGCAGTGACAGGTCCTCTGCAAGAAGGACTGGAGGCAGAGTTTTGGTGACATCCTCTGTGTTCTCATGGGTGTTCTTTTCCTCTCTTTTAGATTTACTGAACCCCAATCTTCTCTCATCCATCAGCTGTGCAAAGATCATTGTGTCTGCATCAGGGGGGATGAGGAACTGGTGAGGGCAATGCTTTGGGACCAAATCAGTCGGCAGATCTCCAGGAAGCAAGACATGCTAGAGAAATGGGAGTGGGCAAGGAGTCCCGGGCACTCACTTGTAGCAGTCTAGACAAATGTGGGTGAGCTTTGCATTCAGAGCTTGCAAACCTAGGTGCAGATCATTCTCAGATATCATAGTAAATCAAACTCTTTTAGTTGCAGTAACAGAAAGGAATTTGAGTTTGTCAAGGGAAACTCATTCTGAGAGAGGGGAGAATCTCACTGACCCCACGGAGCTGAGTCTTAGGATGAACCATTGTGGGAGACTCAGAAGCTTTCCAGGGCAGGTTTCTGCTCCTTTTGGTGGGGCCTCTGTCCACAGCCCACAAACCATAGGTGCCCAAGTTTTTGAGCAAAGTAACCATAGGGTATGGCTAGGATCAGTCCTAGTACAAGGCCTTGGGGCAGGGGAGCTAATCGATTCAGATTGGATCATGTGTTTCCTCTTAGCCCAGTCAGCTGCAGCATGGGAACACTTAAATATCAATGGGGCCCTAGCAGGGACCCTTTCCCCATAGGCGGCAATATGTCTATTAAAGGCATGATGCTCATCAGCGGAGCAGAGCCCTCAAAACTTTCAGTTCCTCAGCAATGGTCACGCAGGTGTGCAATCACCATTTCTGTATATATTTACAAACCAGGGATATAAATAACACCCTTGGGTGCCTCTACAGATAGATGACTGTAAACACAGAGGGACTTGGGAGCTCTGAAGATTCAAAACACCATACAGGATAACTGTATAGCTATAAGGTCTTAGCCTTTTGGAAGGATATCAGTGATTGCATCTGGGATTTTAAAAAAATAACTCTCAGCCCCTATAAAACAGTACTGCCTTCCTGCAGAGAGAGAGAGAGAGAGAGAGAGAGAGAGAGAGAGAGAGAGACCCAGAGATAGAGAGACAAACAGAGACAGAGAGACAGAGACAGAGACAGAGAGACAGAGAGAAACAGAGACAGAGACAGAGACTGAGAGAGACAGAGATAGAGAGACAGAGAGAGACAGATAGAGAGAGAGGTTTGAAAATGTGAATGCTTACCAAATGGGGGAAGAGCGCAAATAACAAACATGAGGAACATTTGAAGGACCCAGTAGAAGACAGTAAGGAAGGTGCTGGGCATTTTTCTGGAGGGAGATTCTCCAGAACCCAGGGAGGTGTGAAGAATCTACCAAGCAGCCCCTACTAAGTGTCTTTTCTCTCCACAGGGTGAGATGGAAGCTGCACTGTGCAGACCGGCCACACACCTACTGGATGACAGGGTGTCATCTGGGATGAAGCAGGTTGCAGGGCCACGGAGACTCATTCCAGGACCCCTGTCCTCCTTTGGGATTCTTTCCGTGCTCTTGTTTCTACTTGATGTTACTTTCTTCCCTACTCATGCACAAATAGGACTGACTAGATCCCCCGGGAGAGATGCCTTCCTTAGACTTACATATTCAGGCCCTATGCTTGTTTCTGTCATTTACAAGCAAAAGAACAAAATAAATATCTATTATTTTTATTTATTAAAACACTCCCTGGACAAAGAATATGTTAATGTCTTCATGATTAGTGCCACATAAATTTGGGTGCCCAGTATAATAGGGCCTTGCTAGATATTATGAGGGGAAGATAAAACATAACAACTGCTCTTTAGGTGTTCCTAACTGAGACAAACAAGTGGAGACATTCACCAGCATTACAACAGGTATAACAGAATGTGTGGTCATTGGTTTGAAACAACATCAAGAGCTGAATAATTTCCCAAAAGATAATATTTGAAGTGAAAAAGAAGGCTCAAAAGTAGCTCATGGGTGAGTCAACAGGTCCAACATTTTGTGGTATCAAAGTAGAGAAAGTGGATTGAATAGAGAAATGATACCTGGTGCCATTGATTTTGGGTTACTTGGAGGAAACGGGCTAGACTTTAGATGCTTAAAAGGCTTCTCTGGAAGCCTCCTCTGTCTGGAAGGTGGTGAGCTGGCATAGAACCACATAAAAACAAGGCAAAGGTTGAAAAAGGAGGAAGGTCCTGCACACAAGCACTACCAACAGTGTTTGACCAAACTGGTGTGTTTTCTTGTGCCTTTTATGCCTCCATCTCAGACCTTACAATTACATCAGCTGTAAGGTGTTTGACTGTCCAGCAGTTTCCAGACTTGAGATGCAGAGACCGGTAACATCCCCAAAAATTAAAACAGAAGATAGCCATGTTTTAACTTTAATGCTGAGTAAAGAATAGTTAAAACAAGTGATCTCTGTTTTATCTCTCCATAAAACATTTTTTGAGAGAAGAAAATGCTTTCCTTAATTGCAACATGAAGTTGACATAAAATATTAGAATTCAACCAAGACAAAGCTGTCATAAAATTTACATTTCCCACATCACTTTCAGAGGGAAATTCTATATCTTAGGGCTCTTCATGGTGTTATGGACTGATTTAAGTAAAATCATTTAAAAATAATTGATAGCAATTAAGACACGTTTAAACTATACTAGACATAGTTAGAAAGGCAACTGTAAGATCTATGATGATCACAATGGGCAGAATTAAAGAGTTTTGTTAAAGGTGAAGAAGCACCTTTCCATGATAGCTGTTCCATGAAGTATGCCTTGCAATGGATAAGGCGCATTCGCTGTGGCTGCTGCGTCCTTAGCAAGTTTATTCCTTTTTTTTTAGGAGTAGAATTTTTTAAAATTTTATTTTGAAAGTAAAATACAACAGATCAAGACAGAATAAATCCAACTAAGATTGTACAGTGAAATTGGTACAGAACTTCACAGCAGGTTACTGAGATAACAGTAATAGGTATCACAGTATATTTTGTTATCTTTACAATAGTTGTTCTTTCAATCACACATCAAAATAAAATGAAATACAGAACATTGTAGAACTTATCAAAACATAATATTGAATAGAGCAGTACCATTAATCAGAATAGAGCAAAACAGTAATAAAAATATTTGCCTTCAAAGAGATGGTAGAAGGAAATCCCCCTTATTTACTATGGTCAACCTCCCAGGAGATGCTCAGATTTCTGGTTCCCATTTGCTAACTGGGACAGGAGAAGGGGGGTAGGGGAAGGGGGATGTTTGACTCTAGGCTGTGCACCAGTAGGTTCACTATTGCTTAGCAGGGAGGCAGGCTGGTTGCTTGGTTTCCTAGCTTCGTAAGTTCCAACATGTGTGGATCTCAGAAGACACTAGTGGTTCTCCCCCTGGAGGGGCCGTAGTCTGCCCCACTGCAGCCACTTACCAGGGAGGGGAGCTGCTTGCTTAGTTTCCCAGCATCCTAAGTTCCATCATGGCATGGATCTCAGGAGACACTGGTGGATCTCAGGAGACACTGGTGGTTCTCCCCCCTGGAAGGGCCACAGTCTGCCACACTGCCTCCGCTTACCAGGGAGGGGAGCTGCTTGTTTGGTTTCTCAGGGTCCTAAATTCCAACATGGCGTGGATCTTAGGAGAAACTGGTGGTTCTCAGCAATTTTATTAAGTAACAGATCCTTGAAGGATCAGGACTTTGATTCTATTTTCCTTCCCAACTTTGCTCCTTTGGGGGAAACAAAAAAGTTTGTCTTTTGTACACAGGGAGAGAAATGTGCAATGCAGCACTGTAAGCCTTTAACTCACAATTACACTGGGGGAATGAATGAAGTCTGAGACCACTTCTGAAGGACTTCCAGCTATTAAAGTAACATGGCTTCCAAATAGTGTCTCCAACTAGCTTTCCATTTTGGTGTATCATGACAAACAACATATTTGATCTGCATTTCAGCAAGTTTTTCTAGTACTATGCTCTTGATAAAAGATAGTTATAAAGTTATAGTCTCAAATAACTTCCACGTATAAAGCATCTTGAAAGGTCTCATTTTTGATTGCACACACAGCTGTGTATGCATGAGCAGATTGTTTTTACTATGAGATAAATATGGATACTGGAAAGATTCTGATCTTCCTTATAAATCCTCCTCTATGTTGAGGCAAGCAATTACTGTCCATGGAGGCCGGGGTACATTTTCTTGACATCTGTTGACCTCACACTGGCAGCTCTCACCACCCCAGCTCCATGTTCATCTGCTTCCTTCTCAAAATTTGCCTTTACTGTCCTCTGTCGATACAAAATGTTGATCAAGTAGCCATTCTGTTATCCATCTTTCCACAACGTTCTCTTCATTTTGGGTCTAATCTTGGGAGCACAGTGACCATCAAGAAGCTCAAGAATGTTTTAGCCTTACTGAGGGTCCCAATGCAGTCCAGCTGTCTAAAACCCGTGAAACCATGAGTCAAAATAAATCTTTCCTTTACACAGTGTTTCTCAGGTGTTTTGTCACAGTAATAGGAAATGTTGTTCCAGTGCTCCTGTTTAATGTTTGATACATGAGCTAGAACTTGTCAGTGTCCGTTGTCCCTTGACTGACTCCCCTTTGGAGTCAGAACAATTTGTTTGGCATGGGTCATTTTTGGTAGGTATCAAGGGTCTTGAAAATGATGAGTACCAAGGTACCACCGTATATCAGTGATATATTATTTCAATTTTATTCCTTTATTACAGCCCATTACTATAATCATTTTGCTGCTCTATTTTTCCAAGTTTGGGAAATGGGGAACCTTTAAGTATTTTTTCCCTATCTTTTGGGATGTTTCCATCGACCTTTTTTTCTCGCATTTGGTTCTGTCCACAGCACTCAACCTTGATTACATTGACTTTCTCATAAAGACAGAAAATCCACACCGGAATGACAATGGCAGTGACTTCATACATTTTGCACTGTCTCAAGGGATTACTCTTTTTATACAAGAAATCCACACAATGAAATAATTTTAAGAGAACGTTTTTGCACTTTACTTTGTGTCATTTCAAATGTCATGAACCAAAGGAGATTTATTTGAGGGAGCTAGTTCAGTGTAGGAAACAGACAGTTAATAATTTTTCTTAGAGAAAGTCCAGTACTGCTGGACCACGGGCTTCCTCCTTCCAAGAAACTGCTTCTGAGGGCATCTCCGGGGCATGGAACAATTACTTCTAGCCTCCCACAGGACACTGAGAGCTCACACCAATACTGTCTAAGAGATAAATGGAAGGGTGAGTTGTCTTATGATTCAGGGCTGGCCCCTGAGGCTGTATTGAGTTCTCAATGAGTGTACACAATACTTCATCTGCAGTCCTGCTTCGGTTGGGGTTGTGAGAAGGCCTTGGTGTACCAAAGGAGACAAGACCATGTGACTGTCATCAGACTCTTTTTCCAGGGAGGAACAGTCTCACAATACTCAGGCAGCTTTTTTATGTGAGGTTCCAGGGATACAGAGGACCCAAACACCAGTACCAGGTTATGGTGATGGCGGTTCAGGGATACAAAGCCTCCTAACGGGGGGTGGGGGGGGGTACAACCTTGAGAGGGCCCTGCTCACTCTGGGAAACGAAGCACATCCCAGTGCTGCGAGAGACATGTAAATAAGGCTTTCTCTTCATCTCCAATGAGCCTGAGACAGGTAGAGGGAAAAAAGTTAATTCATAATGAAAGTACAATGAAATCTTGACAACTGCACCATTTTTGGTAGGAAAGATAAAGACTTTTCTTTCCAAACCATAGATAAGAGCCTTCAAAAGCAATCTAGAGAGTCACCCAATGTTTATAGTGAAGGGTTCGGTTGATAAAAGCAGAAAAAGGACTATCCCTGAAGGCTTGTACAGCCTGGCAAGGCTTAGTTAAGGAGGACAGAGTGATACAGAGACAGATGGCTCCGTGGGCTGCAGGTGACTGAAGTGACTGTTTTTCCTCACATGGAGGAAATCCAAGTGCATCTTCCAGGATGGCTGTGCATTTCACACTCTCACCCCAGATCGGATCATTACAATGGTTGGTCATCCAGAGTGGGATCTGTGCTGTGACTAAGGGATCCCCTACTGAGGTATGGGTCCATTAGGTGTGGTGGAAGTGGAGAAGGGTTATCATTCTTGTGCCCTGCATCACGGGAAGTTTATAATTGATCCACTGTACCAATTGCAGATAGGACAGGGTTTCGAACTTTGGATTCCCTTCTTACAGATTCAAGGAAACAATCTTTGTTCCTCTCACTTCCACAAGCATTTAACTAGGCACACAGGTAGGTTGAAAGTCTCTTTTGTGCAGGGTAGTATCTTGGGTATTGGGAAACATAGAGCTGAACCAATCACACAGAGGCAGACTTAGGAAAGAGGCAGAACTCAGACATTATTGTGGTGTTTTAGTGGTGAATTATAGTTTCAAAAAGGGCAATATAGTTTCATGTCAGAATGCTTCCTAAGATTTAGAAAGCCTACAAGGCCACTCTGGGAGGCCACTCTGGGATGGATCCCACTCTGGGATATTTATATTGTGGCTTAAAAGATGACTAGGAATAAATGAAGGGATGAGGTGGAGGGTCCAGACTAAAGGGAGAATGAGAACCTGAAGTCTAGAAATATGACTGGGAGAAATCTGTGTGTTCAAGAAATAAAAAATATCACATGTGATTCTAACAGCAGATGCAGGGTGTCAAACTGATGATGGTAAAAACAAGGAACAGGTCATAAGGAGACCACCAGAGTCAGATTAGCACTGAGGGAAGAAATTCAGGAGACAAAGGATAGGAACTGTTGGAACATGAGAGAGAGGAGGAGAGAGAGAGACAGAGTGAGAGAGTGAGAGAGCACACGTGAGAGAGATCCTAGCAACTGAACAACAGCTGTCCAGGAAGAACAATTTGGGTCCAAACGGCATGTACACAAGCATTCTCTTTTCTGAAGTGCATTATATCTGTGCACAGTATTTGGAGTCCAACAGTAAAGACAATATCTAGGTGCTGCTACTTATTGGTATGTGAACTTGGGGTAACTCGTGCAGCCTCTTTGAGCCCTAAGCTCCTCACTTAGTACAGAATAACAGCAAGATACACCTCCATTGCCTCCTGAGAGCTCTGGGTCAAGGACCCTACAAGGACCCCGGGGTGCAAGTTTCTTTCCATTGAAAGCGGACCTTTCCCCTCCTCAGCTTCAGCCCCTGCGAAGTTCTTTGGCAGGAAGAAGCTCTGCTGTTTTACTTTACAGGAATTGTCCCTTAGCTTAGGTATCAAGGGTCTTGCTCTGAGCCTTTGCCCTTAGGTGTGGCAAAACCAAGCTTTGAGGCTCAGTGTGTTGAATGCTTAGTCTAGTTGAGGGGACACAGCCTTCAGAAATCACTGGCATCCTAGCGTCCTGGCATTTCTGTGCAGTCCCTATGACCTGGAACCTCCTCTCTTTGTTGATCAGTTCTGCTTGTGTCTATTGCTGACAGCAGGAAGCAAAATCCCTTCAGGTGGCTGAATTACATATGCCTGCATTAGCACCTTTGTTCCCATGGGCTAAACTGTGTATGTTTCTGTTACAACATATTCCAAGCAGAGATTGTGTTTCTAGTCGCTAGTGACTACTACTGTTGCAGGCAATGAAGATACAATGGCAGATAAGCTTGAAAAGGAACTTACTTGCAAGGAGGAGGAAAGGCAAGTGGTGAGGAAAACAAAAACAAAATAATGTTAACAGTAGAGAGTTATGTGAAGCTAACAGTCCGCAATGTGCTTTGAGAAGAGCTAGGGCTTGGATGACTTCCTGTTTGCACTGAGCCTTAAAAGTTGCAACTAGTCAGTAATTTAACCAGAGTTGTACCATGTTATATTCATACTTTGACTTAGATACAGTTAGAATTTTTATGCTAATAAATTTTTCCAGACTAGAACATAGTTTGGATTTCCCTTAATTTTTGTATCTTGCTGATTTTCTTCACAAAATTTTATAGTTTAATCTCCTTAGGTCTTAAGCTTTACTTGTACTTATTCTTAAGTATTTTAAAATAAATTTTGTTTTTGCTATTTTGTTACTGTGATTGTATCAAAATTGTATTTGAAACTTATGTTTGCTAAGCGAGAAAGTCTGTTTTACGTATATCTCTTGTATGGAGGATTCTTTGGAGTTTTCTCTTTCTCTTCTTCTTTGGAGTTGGATACTGTCTTTTAAAAAATATTCTCCATAGAAACCTTAAAGTACATTTATTACTGTTGTTGGAACACCAGCATGCACATAGACATATATCCACACACATATTTTGTTTTTTTAATATTCTCTTTCCTTACTTTTTAATCACTTAATATGACATGACGTGGACTAACAGTTTATTTACATCTCTTTATCAACATGTTTCTACCTTGTTATCTTCTATAGTTCCTATTTCAAGGAAATTTCTGGTGTCTTATTTGGTACTCAGATACCTTATAGTATATTTTAATTTAAATACTAACATTGTGAATGTAGGTTTTATTTTCATAAGTCTGTCTGCATAATTTTTAACACTTTTTGTCCTAAATTCTGCCTTGTTTGACATGAAGATCACATCCTTTGTTTCACATTAACCTCCTATAATTTTGTTTTTAACCATTCTGAATTGCTTTATTTTACCTATTGCTTGATTACAGGAAGGCAAAATGCTTTTGACTCCAGAAGAGTACCAGAGGTCTCATTTAGTGAACTGAGCTATGACACATTCTCCAGCCAAGTGTATTTTAGTAACAAAGGTAAGTTTTTGTTTCCATATGACTAACACCCCACGTCTGATCTTGGCTTTACATCTTGGAGAGGTCATCAGGATCTCATGCACTGGGCTTGCTCAACAATGAAATCATGACCTGTGTGAATTGTTTTAAATGCTCCTTATAATATGTGGAATAAAGTTCCAAATCTTTGCTTTCCATTCCGAATTTCTCCATAACTGATACTGAATGTGTTCTCCCTCCCACTTTGTCTTCCCCATGTGCTCACAGTTCCTGCTTCCCATCCCCAAGCTGGACCATGGCTTTCTACCTCCTGGCCTTTGTAAGGGTTTGCTTCACTATGTCATGCACATCCATCTGTAAAGCTCTCAACTGCATTTCTTCCCTACGAACTTCCTGTTCTGCCTTTCTCTGCTTTTATCACAATCTCAATACCCCTGCCCTCATTTTGAGATTCCAGAGATGAGATCGTGATTTTTTGCTATTTCATTGATACCTTGAAGAATAATTTGTACATAATGAGTCTTTACCAAATAGTTCTTTCTTGAACACTGTTTTCTGGAAGAATGGACAGTAAAAATTTTTGTCTTCAAAATATTGAGTTTTGGGTATGATAGATCAAAACAGTCTGAGGTCAAAGAATCAAAATTTGTCAGATATAAGCAACTATGTCCATCCTATTAAATTGAAAAATTCTCTGAGTTTAAGGATTAACCTGTGTAATTTACCTGGCCCTGTACCTCGCCCAGAGCTGGTGCTTAACATCTGTTGAATGAACGAGTGAATGCATAAAACTTTATGATCCCTTGAGTATGACAAAATTGTGACCGATAGGAGTGTAGGGCAGTGAGGGTGAACCTATGGCGAGAGTGCTTAGTGGGCATGTGAGAGCCCTTACTGTTCAAAGAGGAGCCAAGTCACCCCAGATTTCCCTAGAAGTCTAGCATTCAAGTTTAATTGTAGTATTTGTACTTTGTGATAAATTAATGGGTTTGAGTTGCATTTTGGATTTTGGCCTCTAAAAATTTTGCCACTGGGTAGAGAAATCAAGTGACAAGTCTGTTTCAATGACCATAAATCAGAGCCCAGGCTTTTTGCCACAGTTTATATATTAGGCTTTATTATATATTTCAATATAAATGCAGAGTGGTTAAAAATTATAACATTTAAATTTATAAAATGTTTCACAGTAACAGACACATTGTCGTCAGTCCACCTCAAAGCATCCCCTACCTTGAATACACTTATCCCATTGTCCTATCTATGTTCTGATAGGGAACCTATCATTGGAATCCTCTTTCATGAGTGTCTTCAGGTGCACAGTCATGACAGCCGTGATATCCTGAGTCAGTTCAAAATCGTGGCCAGTTCACTCTCGTGGTCATCTTGACTCTGGAGAAGATTCTGAGGTCATCTTGTGCCTGATCAGGTGAACGAAGTGGGCACAATATAATGTTTTTCCATCAGATGGCACCTGGCATCATTGCTCACCATATTTGTGATCACACCTTGGTTGTTAAGGCATGAAAAAGGACTTCCAGAACCGTTTTAGAAGCAGGAGGAATGATGGGATTTGTGTGTTGGAAATGTGTGTGTGAAGGCATGTTTTGAAACAGGTAAGTGTGATAGCCCTTTACTGTGGTACGTTTATAGAATTTAAACGTTTGTTGTGTATGATCATACCTCATACACTGTCACCCTTTCTTCTCTAAAGTTCGGAGAACGGCATCCTCAGCTGTCACCTGAAGTAAATCTTTTTATATAACTTTACCGGGGATCCCTCAAGCTCATTTTCTCTGACCTCTGGCTCATGGCAAGAGAAAATGAAACTGCAGGTTTTGAGTTCCTCCTCTGGGGCCTCTCAGAGCGGCCAGAGCAGCAGCGCAGCCTCTTTCTGCTCTTCCTGGGGATGTATGGGACCACGGTGGCTGGGAACCTGCTCATTGTCCTGGCCATTGCTGCAGATGTGCACCTGCACACCCCCATGTACTTCTTCCTTGCCAGCCTGTCCTGCGCCGACATCCTGTTCACCTCCAGCACTGTGCCGAAGGCATTGGCAAACATGCAGACGCGGAGCAGGTCCATCTCCTATGCAGGCTGCCTGACTCAGCTCTACTTCTTCCTGACCTTTGGGGACATGGACATCTTTCTCCTGGCCACAATGGCCTATGACCGCTATGTGGCCATTTGCCTCCCCCTCCACTACACGATGCTCATGAGCCTCCGGCGCTGCAGCTTTATGGTGGCTGCCTGCTGGACCGTTACCAATCTTGTTGCCATGACCCACACCTTCCTCATGTTCCGGCTCTCCTTCTGTCCCAAGAAGATCATTCCTGACTTCTTCTGTGACCTGGGACCTCTGATGAAGGTCTCTTGCTCTGCGACCCGGGTCAACGAGCTTGTGCTTCTGTTCTTGGGGGGCGCAGTCATTTTAGTCCCATTGTTGCTCATCCTGGTTTCTTACATCCGCATTGCATTAGCTATCCTCAGAGTCCCCTCCGTCCAGGGAAGGCGCAAGGTCATCTCTACCTGTGGTTCCCACCTTGTTGTAGTTGCCCTGTGCTTTGGGACAGTGATCAGGGCTTACCTGTGTCCCTCATCCTCCTCTTCCAATGCAGTGGCAGAAGACATGGCAGCTGCTGTCATGTACACTGTGGTGACTCCCCTGCTGAACCCCTTTATCTACAGCCTCCGGAACAAGGACATGAAGGGGGCGCTGGCCAGGCTTTTCCGTGGCAAAATCTTCTTGAAGGGCTACTGACTTCTGCAGAGAAACTGAACATTCTCCCCATTCCCTTTGCTGAGGGTCTTTCAGCAGATTCTGCCCTAACAGTCTCACTTGTGGATCATATGTGCATCTTATAGGCTGCTTCCCATCCTTGGTCCCCACTGTGAGTTCGATATTATTGAGGACAATTGAGATTTTGCTTTGTGACTTAATCTGTTATGAATTGCTTATTATTTTATAGTCATGTATTGCAGTATGGTGCTCTAGTCAATGATAGGCCACATATATGATCATGGACCCATAAAATTAAAACAGTGGTGCAAAGTTCCTACTGCCTAGTGACCTTGTGTCCCAGCAGCACAGTGCATTGCTTGGGTGTTTGTGGTTATGCTTGTGTACACAAACCTGCTGTGCTGTCACGTAATTTTGTAGAGTTCATAATAGTTGCTAGTGAAATAAAAAATGAAGTTACTGTTATATATTTACCACAGAATACTTGAATCATTATTTTGGAGTGTCCTCTTGCATATAGTAAAAGCTTACTGTAAATATCATGCTATGTTAGGGCAGCAAAACCTCACACAGCTTCTGCTTATCCAATCTTTTGATTGCATAAATAGGCAGTGTTGAGTGACTGACCTGTATCTTCTGGGTTAGTGTAAGCACACGCTGTGATGTTGCCACAGTGATGGAATTGTCTAGCATATGTCTCAGAATGTGTCTTTGTCAGTAAGACACACAATACTTATTAATAACTTTTTCCAGGGAGAGACATCTTCTGCAAACTTGTAATTCTAAAACTTGTTCAGGTTTTCTATTTATCAAATCTTGATTAGCAGTCATGGAAAAAAAGATAAAGACAAAAATAGCAAACAATGTCAATGTTGGAGAGCAAAAATTCTACAACTAAAATGAAAAAGTAAATATGTTTTTCCCATAAAAATTGGACATGATATACTATGACTCAAGGTTATGAACCATCAAATTTTGTAGGTATTGAAGCAAAGCTCTCAACAATCCTGAGGTCATGCATGTTCTTTTCAATAAAAATATTTACAGATAACTTACAATTCCAAGATTAAATAAATACCTGAAAGTGAACTGTTGTGAGTACTAGTGTGTGGGAAATCCCTAGCTTTCTCCTCTGCTTATATCAGGCTGATTGTGATATTATATATGTGTGTGTGAGAAAACAGATCAATCATTTGAGCAAGTCACAGGAATACAGAAAGAAGAAATAGAAAATGGAAAACAGATACATACAATAATTAAAATCACAGGCTTAACTCTGAACATTTCAACCACTACATTAAAAAGAGACATTCCAAATACATCAATGAAAAGACAGAGATTGACAGCGAGGGTTCAAAATAAACATGCAACTACATGGTGCCCACAAGAAGTGCTCTTTAAACATACAAATATAATATATGTGTGGCAGATGGAAGATAGAAGAATGGAAAAAAGAGGGAAGTATTAGTGTAAAGAAAAAGAAGGGGATTCATTAATTTATATAAAGTAGATTTTAGAGCAAAGGAAACTAACAGAGATGGAGATAGTATATATTGATAAAGGTGTCAATCCACCAAGAATATATAGCATCTTACACGGGCATTCATCATACAACTCAGGTATAATAAACTATAGAAGAAAAGGTGACACAACTGAAGAGGTACATAGATAATGCCACAATTACACTTGGAGAATTCAGATTCACTTCCTTAACTGTAGATAAAACAATGGGACGGGATATTAAGAAGAATATAGAATAAATCTATATAACTAGCATTTATTTGCCATTTATGTGTAAGTTGTCTTTAATAGTAGCATTTCAATCATTATTTTCAAGTGTCTATAGAATATATGCCAAAATAGACCATTCCCTAGGCTGTGAAATAGATCTGGACAAATTTAAAGTGATTCAAATCATACACAGTGTGTTCTCTGACCACACTGAAATCAAAGTGGAAACCGATGAGAGAAAGATAAGGGAAAATTTATGAAACACTTGTAAATTAAATTGCACACTTCTAAATAGCCCATGGGACAGGCACACACATGTCCTAGAGGTTGTGGGCCAATGTTACTTACAAATATAATTACAAAAGCCTACATAAAATATTAGTAAATCAATTTTAGCCATTTATTCTATTAAAGTAGGTGAGAGTAGTTCAGTACTAAGCTATTAACTGTGAACTAAAAAAATCATCTAATTAAAACTGCAATAATTATACTTGTTTACTGAAACACTACTGGCAAAATATGATTAGAAGGACAATTGCTGTATATCTCCTCTTTTGGCTAGAATCATTTAAACTCTTAATTGCACTTAGGAAAAAATGTTAAAATTTTAAGAAGACCACATGACCTGGGCCCTGCCTTGCCTGCATGACCTTTCTCACCACTCTCCTGCATACTGATTTCCACAGTGGCTGCACCAGTCTGCACTCCCACCAGCAGTGGAGCAGTGTTCCTTTTCTCCACAGCCTTGCCAATATTTGTTATCAGTTGATTTCTTGATGGCAGCCGTTTTTTCCAGAGTGAGATGAAATCTCAATGCTATTTTTTTTTTGTCTTTTTCATTTTTATCGGTACCAGGGATTGAACTCACGACCGCCTGCTTGCAAGGCAGGTGCTTATGCCTTATACTAAATCCCCAGCCCCCTCAATGCTGTTTTAATTTGCATTTTCTCATGACCCGTGATGGTGAACATTTCTTCATGTATTTATTTGCCATTCATCTGCGAAATGTGTGTTCATCTCAGATGCCCATTTTTGAAGAGGGTCTTAGAATTTGTGGGGCTTGATGTTTTTCAGCTCGTTGTATGTTGTGGATATAAGACCTTTGTTTGAGGGGCTGCTGGCTAATATTCTTTCCCATTCTGTGGGTTCTCTTTATGTCTTATCTTTCAATAAAAATAACATCAAAATGTAAAAAAGTCCTGATCTGTTGCTACATGGTGAAATTAAAATATGGTCCATAGATTTTCCTTAAATTTTTGGAATTTTCATGTCACTTACATTGGGTTTTTGTGGTGGATTAACTAATAGTGAACTTGGAGCACCCAGTTGACCTCAGTGTGGTTTTGGGAGTGGATTGCTGCCAACCATATAAAAGGAGAACTGGAGGGAAGACACCATGCTGTTGTTAGAGAGTCTTGTCACCCTAGTTTTCTTGGTGTGAACTCAACTGTTATCATCAGAGGAGCTCGGGTCCTTGCCGTGGCTGAGGATGACCTTAGATCTCTTCAGGAAAGCTCTGGTCCTTACTTGGAGCATCATGTCCTCGTTCCAGGGCAGATCCCTCAGCCTGGTGCCATAAATTCTTCACTTGATAGCCTAGACTTTCTAGCTTCCATCACTGACTTTTGGGCCTTCCCAAAAGTGCAACTTCCTGATACAGACTTTCATGAGACACTGTCGTGGGCTCTAGGCCTCCAGTTGGCCTTGTGCAAGACATTGCCATGGGCTTTAAGTCTTCAGCTGGATTCATAAATTGCCATGGGATCCAGGTCCTCAGCTGGATTCTCTAAGTCTCTGGCATTTCGACAGATCTCTAGCATTCCTCTGCACTGGACTTGTTAGGTGAATATTATAAAGTAACCCTATTAATCATGTGTTCTGTATGAAATTTTTTCCTTTGCAGCTCTGACTACAATAGTTTTGAAAAGGAAAAATAATGATTAATTTTAACATTTAATAATTTTAATGTATTGATAAGATATGAAATATTGGTCTAATATTTTTTTCTAACCAAGTGTGCAGTTTGTTTCAATGCCATTTGCTGAATGAGTAACCCATTGCCTGCTCATTTAATCTGTTGAAACCCACAAAACCACAGCTTTGTTTCTATAGTTTACCTAGAGTTCTGTGTGTTTGGCAGAGCAAGTGTCCCAAGGTTGTTACTCTCTTAAAATATGTTTCTATCTTATTTTCATGTTTGTTTTCAGATGAAATTTGAAAGTTTTTCTTTTCCAAAGATGGTCTTGATTAAAACAATGTAAGTTTTAGATTTAATTTACAATGAATATACACCTTTGCAACATGTCATCTTTTTATCTAGGATCTTGGTGAATCTATTCATTTATCAAATTTTCATCATAACTTTTCATGGAGAATTTGAAGGCACTGGCTCATTCTTGTTAGCGCTTAAACACTTTAATTTGTTGTTAATATGGATGAGATTGCTGTTGTTGTATTGTAGCCTGATTACAGATTTGTGTAAATGTGTATATGAGCCAATATTTATTAAGTGCTCAAACCTTGGTGTTAAAACACTTGTGATTGCCACAACCCATTTCACGCTTGACGGAATGAAAAGTCTTTTTTTTTTTTTTTCCTGGTACCAGGGTTCAAACTCATGACCTTGCACTTGCCAGGAAGGTGCTTGTGCTGCTGAGCTAAATCCCTGGTCCTTGAAGGAATGGAGCCTTAAAGAGCTCTATACTGCTTGAGGTTTCACAGCTAAGAGGCAGCACTGCGTAGGAGATTGAAGTTATTATGTTTCCATGTAGGAAAGGAGGAGCCAAGAATGGATGGGGCTGAAACGGGATAGAAATGCCCTTGTCCGCCGGCCCACTGTGTCCCTTTCTTCTTTACCTTACCATAAAAGACCTTGTATTCTTGAACAGAGTGAGATAAAGATTTGAGGCGAAAGTCTTTTTGTCTCCTACAGAGCTGGCTGTTCCTTTCCACTAAAGATTGTTACCTGTGTTCTTGGGAGAGTGGTGAACAGTACAAAACCCAGCATCCAGGAACACCAAAACCCTCAGCTCTCTGCTAGAAAGCAATGGAAGGCTTCCCATAATTACTCAGGTGACCACGGGCGCTTTTCCTTCCCTGGTAGTACCGTGAGATAGCGACACCACTGGCCAACGCCAGCATTGCAATCTTAGGAAAGGAGGCAAATTTTTGCTAATTTGTTTTGTGGGCTCTGAAACTTTTTATTTATTTATTTTATTTTGAGGCAGAGTCTCAACAAGTTGCTAATTTGTCCAGGCTGAGTCTGAACTTCTGATCCTGCCTCAGAGTGC